ATATAAGAGGGACTGTACTGTACAATGGTACTTTTCTTTTAATTTTGTTATTAGTTGGAACGACGAAAAAAATAAAAAGCCCGGATTGTTTTAAAAATCTTTTTAACATTTGAGCTTTTTAAGAAGCTTCCGTTTCTAATATTTCTTTTTGTCATTCCAAGTAATAGCAGAATGTTAAAGAAAATTATATTTTACTAATAGTACAATGAACTAGTCCCACTAACATTTAAAAGAATTCAAGTCTTTTAGTCCCGTTTTAAAAATACAGTCGCCATACCGATCATTGTCGAATCCGAATGCCAAAAATAACCGAATCTGTAATTCGATGAAATGTAAAATGACGGATTTTCCGTAGCGCGAATACAAGGACTTCTACACACCGTAGCGAATCGATTAATTGATATTTGCTTGTTCGGTTAGTTCGCTTGAAATCTTTCCTATTAATACAATGAAACGTGAGACGAACCTTCCTGAGCAACCTAATATAGAGATTGTTTGAAAACAATTTATTAGATAGTTCGGAAAGTTCGTTTCATGTTTCGCAGAGTTCGTTTCACGTTTCATAAGGTACTTTCCGAACAACCTAACATGTTTGAGTGCCGAATATGCGAGGAATATGTAAAAGAGTGCGAACGCCGTCTCCGATTATTACCGATTAATTAATCAAATAATAATTATCGCCGATCGGTCGTAAGAACCTCGCGAGCGAGGCCGTCAGCGTCGACGGACGTCGCGTAGGGTTGAGGTCACCATCTTCACAAGAGCGTCGAAACGTCGGGGAAGTCGAAGTTTATCGCAAAGTTGACGTCGCCCGGGCGTCTCTTCTCCCCCGTGTCTCCGATTTATTTTCGTGCCGGGGAAAGTTCCCTTTGAAAGCGTGCCCAATCGCGTCCTCCTCGCCCGGCGCACCGACCCTCGTTAACTTCGGATGTCCTCATTTACGCCTAATCGCCTCGAATCGGCCGGCCGCGCGCTAAATTATCGAACTTAACACATGGAGAGGCAGCAGGCTGGTGTTAACGCGCGCGAAACACGTTTTCAGGACAAGCACCGAGCTGGCAATTTATTAGCACTGTCGCACAGTGTTCCGAAAGATAAGAGCTGGCTGGGCGAAATATTTGTTCGGGGGAGGAACGGTATTACACCACAGGCTTTTTTTATTGTTTTATTTTCTTTTTTTATTGTTAAATCTTTCAGAAGTTTTGAAATATGAACGATCGGCGGGTATCAAGAGATTTCGAATAAATCGATGGCTGTATCTTCTCTCCTTTTTTTTTACGCTTTTCGATAGCGACGAGAAACTTATTATTACGCTGCGGGTCTTTATGCGAAACAGAAATTATCCACTTGGATTAAAACAAATTAAAACAAAATAGTGGTTTGTTCTCTTTTTTAATACGTATAAAATCGGTTGAAAATAATGTGACAGCATTCTTAAAGTTTTAGAATCTTTCCACTGTTTCGTGGTTCACCATTTTTCTCATAAGCGCATAAAATTCGCGGTCCACTTGTTGTGCATTATCATATTCAGTATTCAGATTTTCTAAAGGATCCAGGCAGGATGAGCATGAGAAAACGGATCCTACACTTTTTATCTTTTTCCGAAATGCTAAACGATTTTCCTTGCCCGCAATATAATTCTGTAAAATTGATATTTAGTAAACCCAATTCGTTCTCGTTCTATAAAAATATTATCAAATTCTTCTGTTATTACAGTTTCGCATCCGATCGACCAATTTTCGTCAAAAAAAAAGCATAAAGTCCGCAGTATAGCGATCGCCGGACTTTTACAAAAATCGGAACCGAAAGAAGTGCCCCTAACTAAAAATATCTCGCTAAAAATATCTCGTAAAAATGAAATAAAAATGCTTTTAGACCTTCTCGATCAACACGTTTTCTTGGAGTCTGCTATTCGCTAATCATTAATTCCTGCCGCCTGAACACTGCATCGCACTGGATCGTGCAATGAACGCGGAACGACCAGTTGCATTATCTAACTTCAACATGTGCCGCTAACGTTTATTACAAACTGTAGCCCTAATGTAGCCATCGTCGCGCTGCCTATGAATGTGCAATTACACCAGACCGACTAGTAACGGAGAGCTCCGACTAATACCAAAACACGCTTCCAAAAAATGTGATATACCTTGAGAAACAAGTTTCCCGGGTTTCGTCCAGCCAGCCCTGTCCGAGACGCTGTTGCGCGATCGGGATCTCTTCTGGGCGTTCTGCTGTACCAACTCGATCGTACGATCGCGATCTACTCCTCGATCTTGTGTTCCACGTTGATACCGTCAACTTGCCCGCGTATCTGTTTCGCTTTCTGTTTGCATTACTGTACTGTATTATAGGGGTTCTATCGACGTGTTACAGTTGATTAGATTAAACGCGACCGCTCGACGAGGAATCTTGCACTGTGCACAGACATGGTATTACAGTAAAATGTAATAGAAACCGCAGGGAGCCGCCGTGTTTTCACTCAATCAAAGCGCAGCGTGCTTGATTAAACTTCGGCCACTTTCGAGCGCAGTCGAGATACGCGGCGCAACCTCCGCGGAAGTTAGTTGTGCTTCGGTCCCACTGAACTTTGCCCTTCCGTCGAGTGGCCGCGTTTTCCCGTGCGTGTCAGAATTCCCGGCGATTCGGTTCTTCGGTCGACCACGAACCGGCCGCGTCCTACGTTCGATTCGTCGACGGCTCCATGACGGATCGCTGCTGTTCCGTTCGCGACAACGATCGGCTAATTCTTCCGATTCGTATTTCAAGGGTCCCGAACAACGCGCGGTGACACCTTTTCCAAAAAGCTGACCAAAATGCGGTTCTTTGAGCATCAAATGCCGTGCGAAATGTTCGAATACCGCGTCTGCTTACTGAGATATAAACCGTCGAATTCGACGATTACCAGTTTCGCATGATTTATTTTAATATCGCCGCAGTTATGAAGACTCTTTTGTAGTTAACTATTGAATCGTTTTGATGATTCGTCGGTTACAATGAAAAAGCAGGAAAGTCTAAATAAATTCAGTCGTGTCGTTCTTATAAAACAACATTGATTAGTCGCTTTTAATGCTTGGTAGGTTTAGCGTTAAACGTGGTAACATTCTTTTTAACGTGTCAGATTAATGTTTATCCTTAGAGAAACCATTTATATAGGGTATCCCAGATTATGGCACTTCCGGGAAGTGAGGGGTTCCTGAGATCATTTGAAGTAACTTTTTCCTTAGCGAAATTGCAATCCGCGGCTTCGTTTACGAGTTATTAACGGAAAACTGTGACCAATGAGAGACGAGCTTGGCTGGCGCGCGGCGGCCGAGCCAACGAGCGCACGGAGCTCGGTTCCGCCCATTGGCCCGGTCGCCTAGCGCCAAGCGTACTCGCCCCTCATTGGTCAGTGTTTTTTCTGAATAATTCGTTAACGATACCTCGGAGAAAATTTTTGTAAAGGGAAAAGTTGCTTCAAATCACCTCAGGAATCCTTCATTTCTCGGAAATACCATAATTTTGGGACACCCTGTATATACGAATAAAGAAGTCTATATAAAAACATCTTTATAATATCAGTAGTGTTAAAGACGTTGAAATTCAGATCGTTACATTAAACGTTATATTGCAATCATATAATTACAGCCAAATATCGGTGACTTATCGATAGCCACAAAAAATAAGTCAAAAAATATTACTTAAATCAGCAGTGACTGACGTAATTTTCATTTTCATAAGAGTACCGATTAAAATCGTAAAAATCGTCTGAAATATTATGGTCAACTTTTTGGTCGAAGCATAGCATTCTGCGTCGTTCGAAAATTCGTTCGCCCGGACAGACGGTGATCCGCCGTAAACGATAGTTTGTTATCTCGACGGTGATTCACGTTTAGTTGGTACACGCGGATTATTACTTCCTAAATCGATCGATGGTCCGACTATAAAGATCGCTGACGGCATTAGAGGACATTTAACGCGACAATTTCAAGTATACCGCTTTTTTATGCATCGGCGTATTTTATAACCGAGCCCTGTCGCCTTGAATAGACGGCAAGTTGATGCTTTAGCCGTTTCATCGGACACTGAAGAATTTACACGGAACGGATAGTAAACGGTCCGTGGTTGTTTATGCGGATTCGCGAATTGCCGCGGTGATTCGTGACGGTGGAAACTTGGCATCGTTGCCTTCGATGTTTCCAGATGGCAACGGAGCTTCGACCATTTCTTCGTTTTTCCTTGCCACGACGTGCGCATGTATACCTTTTTCTTCTTTTCATTCTTTGTCTCGGTTTTAACCACCGCATGATTAAGGAAGAGTCAAGAAATGTCCACAGAATTTTAAACATGTGCGTTTGTTCTAACAATGTTGTTTCGTACATTTTTTTAATTTTATTCTTGCGGTAATAGATGCCGTTTAATCGCCAGTATAACACCAACATAATTTTCATTTCAATCTTACCCTTTTAACACTCGACTGCACGCAACAGTTGTCCAAGCATGAACGTTCAATCGTTGAACTTCAGCAGCTGTTCCATTGTGCCGAAATTATAAGTTTCGACAGTAAACTGTGTTGACAGCTGTGTTGAAACACGACATCGCCGATGAAATCAAAGTACAGTAAATTCTCTCCAATTGTCGGTCAACGTGTGAACAGAAATGGACAATTTGGGAAGAGGAGACACGATTATTCGAGTCTCCTCTTCCCAAATTGTCCATTTCTGCTTACACATTAACTGACAATGGAGAGAATTTATCGCGTAGAATACTACGAGTTAGGATTAAATCGGAACGGAATCACGCCGGAATAGCAGTGGTCGTTTCCTGGAGCCGAGGAAAAAGAATCGTGATCGCGTTTCGTGTCGATCGCGAGAACCGTTCGCCCGAATCTCTCCCTAAACCTCTCCCACCCCTTTTCTCTCTGTCTCCCTCTCTCTCTCTCTTTCTTTCTCTCTATCTCTCTCCAATCGATCATCGATGCACACCTGCTCTAAGCGTTGTCGTTGCCTTTTGCTGGAAAGACGTGTGGCATGAGCACAACTCGCAGAAGATGATGGCGGGGAACAACACGGTCGCGCTGGTGTCGCCGCTAAAACCGGCGACCTCCTACGACTTTCGGGTGCTTGCGGAAAATCACTTTGGAACATCAGCGCCAAGCGACATCCTTCATGTCAGTATCAAACATTATCAGCATGCCTCAAACTTCAAACTTCGATGCTTCAATGATAGAGAAAACCGAGATACTTGTCATTCGAGCCCGCGTGTTTCATTCGATCAGACCGTGCGCGCGCGCGCGCGAGACTGTTCACCGAGCCCGACTGACACGTGATTATTTCTTTTCCCCCTGCACGATTGGCGCGGCCGCACGCAATTGCGAACGACCACCGACGACGACGACGACGACGACACACAACAGGCGCAGACCGACGGCGAAATACCTGGCGGGCCGCCGAGACACGTCACCGCAAGGCCCCTAGGACCGCAGCAAGTGAAGGTCACCTGGCAACCGCCGGATCGATCCCTCTGGAACGGGGAACTTCTCGGATACACCATCAGCTACGCCAATCTCGGGTATCGTTATCCGTTTATGACTGTTTAGAATAGTTTCCAGCACACTCCGGGATCCTTAAAGTCCTGCGAGCAACCGCCCCGCCGCGCACCCTCGTCGACGGGCCTCGAATCTTCGGGGCCGATTACCGCGACGATTCCCGACAATGGACCGGCAAGCGAGCGCTCGTCCATCGCCGTGTTTCCGCTCGCGGCCGGATAAGGATAATCGCCGCGCTTTGTTCGCCGCGATCTCGATACCGATCTCCAGACCACCCTCGATCGTTCGTTCGCGCACCGCGTCCACGCCATAAACGTTCCGCGGCGACTAATTGGCTCGCTTCGAACCCTTTCAAGCCAACAGCGAGCTTTCCGCGTATTAAATGATTAACCTCTTGCACCGCGACAATCGGGCAACATCGCGACGCAGAGATCCCGTACGCGGTCTATTAAGATCGTCGCGTTTTGTTCATCGCGAGCTCCATACACCGAGCCGGAAACCACCCCCGATCGTGTTCGCGCACCGCGTCTACACCGCGGATATTCCGCAACGAGTGTAATTACTCGCTGATTCGAATCCTTTCACGGGAAAACTCTTCGCGTGTTGTAACCTGTTAGCTGTTTTTAAAGCGCGTACTCGTTACAACTGGACTGCGGAGCTTTATGTAAAATAAACATTGTCTGAGTAAGTTGCACGAAACCGCGGTTCAAGAGAAATGTGTTTCTTTTGTTAAACGTTTTAATAAATTGAGACCGATGTAGCGGTGATCTTAAATTTTTCTGATGTCTTCGGAATTTGATATTCTGTATTGAATACTTTGATATTCTTTATTGAATTGTATATATTTGATAAAAATTGTATTTGAACAACGTGTGAAGAAAATCAAACGTAGACGGTGCAATTACAGTAGTTTGCATATTTTTCAAGGAGATTGTAATAGCTAACTTGGTAATTGATTAACCTTTTGCACTGTAACAATGAGTCAGATTCATGACGATGATTTCATAGAAAATCTACTAACAAGGGATGATGATCTCCACCCCAAAATTCAAAAAATTCTGAAATCCTGGGAATATGTAAATCATACGTAGATATATATATTACGAAATTTCTTTTTTTTATGTAAATTCCTATTAAGGGGTAGAAATTAACCCCCATATATTCGGCTATTTATTTTATCGCTATAATTCGTAAACTTACACGAGATATAGGAAGAAAGTCTTGAAACAAAAGTTGCTTTCTTCGACCAAATCTGTCACGTGCTATACGATTTTTTAATTGTTTAAACAACTGGAAAAAGTTGCAGGCAAATAATCGGTAACATTCGCGAACAATCCTATTAAATTAACGTGAATTTGCAGCCGAATTAAATATAATACGCTCGCCCCGTGGTTTGGCCCGCCAACGATATTCACGGCTGCGATATTTTCTAAAACCTACCGCGGCTGTTTCGCGTGTTGCGAAGTAAACTGAACAAAGAGGAGTCATAGGTGTCATAAACTGCACTATGCGTTGCGATTCTAAATAACAACGGGCATAAAATTCCTTTGACTTTATTCTGCGCGGAACTACGAGAAACGGGGTCATCGCGCAAGTGTGATGCTGGCTGCGAACGTGTCAGTGTTCGCGATTTGTCAGTTCTGTGCGGACTTTTGTTCGCTGCGAATGCATAAATTCGATTCTACGAAGATTTTCGGTCGTTCTAGACGCATAGATTGGTGCGGTCCATGGACAATGATTTCATTTGAAAGAGATGATCAAAATGGAGAAACATTGAAAATTGAACACTGGGTTTTAACTGAATGCGTTACTAATTAGTAGACTACGGATTCTATGCTAAGATATAGGATCTATTCTAAAATGAGTGCATAAAGTTAGAAACAGAGAAAAGGATACTATAATATTACATTCAGTATATTACAATTATTAAAAACATAAATGCGTAGGTAGCTCCGTTATCTTGCAACTCGTGCACAGAATTTTTATTTATCATAAAAGTCCGCAGTGTAGTAATTAGTACACTGCGGATGTTAATGCGAAATAAAAATGTTCCGAGTCAATTTTAACAAAGAGAAATGTAATACAAATTTACTCACTCATATAATAATTTCAATAACAAGTAAAAAAAAACGTGAAATAATGTGCTTAAATTTGTCTAGCGTCTCCAAGGTTTTGCACATCATCGAAATATTTTTTCCATAAGTGCATAAATCCGCAAATCTAGTAATTAGAACTTGGGTCTTCACACAATGATCTCGAAATATATACATATACATATTCATAATCGTTGCAAAGGATTCTGTCGAGAGGCTGTACGAGACGTTACTGTAGGCCATTCTTTGAAAGACGAGATCTGGTATACACCATCAGTCGTAATAACTGTCGACCCCATCGCAGACACTCGAGACTAATTGCATCAACGTCCTTCGGAGGGAAGATGGGCGATTGCTATTATGACTACTCATGTTCATATTTCAAGTCTCTTCTTTTGAAACGTAGACCGCACTTCCTAGAACGTAAACGGATTTGTTAGACAATTTAATGCGATCCCGCTGTTCTCTTGGCATAACCTTAACAAGATGTCCATATAATTTCAATTCAGTCCTCGTTTCTAAAGAAATGTTCGGAGGCGACGCAGAATATTCATGGTATATATATGCATTTCATTTACTCGAAGGTAAATTTAATAATAAGAGAACGCGGCGGCGTGTTACAAAGGATAGAAGGAAATAAAAGGAGACACACTACAAAAGAAATAACTTATTAAAATGCAGACCAAGAAAAAATTTCACTGGAATTCTCCACGAGATACTAGATTACTCGGGTAACGGACATAAAGCACCGAGGAAGAAACATTTAGCCCCCATAAATTACAACAAGGATCATAACTGTTCTAATCAATATGAAAAAACCTCGTTGGATAACAATTCAAATGTTTTAGGTGCAAGTAATCGTTGTATGTGTATTTCGGTTGCTCGTAACAGTTATTCGTGAGAAAATTTATTAAATATTATTCATTCAATGTAATTTAGTAAACGCAAATTAATCGATACAATTTAGAGAACACAATTTATTAAATACGATTTAGTAAGTATAATTCACTGATTACGATCTAGTAAATAAATTTCATCGAATATAATCAAGTAAACGCAATTTATCAAGCATTAAATACAATTTAGTAAGTGCAATTTAGTACATACAATTTGCGAAGTACAACTTATTAAGTACAATCCATTAAACACAATCTACCAAGTACGATTTCTTTCATCGACAACATTTACAAACAAGTCAAATAAATTTTCCTCGTGGTCAGTCGTTATTGTTGAGCGAGATAAACTTCCTGTCGCTGCTAACTGTTACGAGTGGTCGAAACGGAACACAAATTCCCCTCGCGAAAAATTATTACAAGTAACTGAAATAAAATGTCCGTCGTCAATAACGATTATTAGTAACCAACAAAATTCCCGGACGGTGCAATTGTTATTTATAACCAGAATAAAATTGAAATCCGGTCGCATAATTATTTTAGCACTTCCTTTCGCATTTCGCAATAACATCGACTGGAAAAATGAACACGATCATATTCACAGAAAGTTCCCAAATAACAATGATCGTAAAACAGGACGAACGAACGAACGGTTCGGAGACGCCGTGATTCCCTCCGATTCGAAATGCCAATAATCCGGGAATGCGGCGGTAACAAATTCCTGTTAAGAGACTGTGGAAAATTAATCGAACGATTTTAATATTCGTCAGCGGAAGCGTCGAATTCGGATCCGAGTCGCGGCGAAAGTTCCGACGGGTTTCGGCGCGTTTCCAGTTGGACTAATCGGATTCTACGGAGTCGCCGATTCCCGGGATTCTTTTTCGATCTCCCTGGCTGGTAATTCCGGATGAATCGCGGTGACTCGCCGCGCGAACGAGGAGGCGGAAACGCGTCGCGACGCCTCCGGATCTGTGGCCCCCGCGGACGATCGAACTTCCGGAACGTCCTCATTCCCGCCTCGGGTCGAGCCGCGTCGTCGAGATGGAGAATTTCATATCGTCGTCGAGAAAGAAAGACGCGGTGTCGGGGGTGTACGGGTATCGGGCGCAAGTTCCGGGAATCAGAAGACCATTTTTCGCTCCAGTTTGCCCGGGATGGCTTTAAGTATCGCCAAGTTCCGCGCCTTCCTTCCCGCGCTTTATCTTTCCGGCTGGCGGCACATCGGTCGTGGCTTTATTTCAGAGAGAATGATCAATCGGTGAACATCACCAGAGTGGGAATCACGGGAAACGGGGACGGTTCGTACGATTATAGGCTAACCGGCCTCCGAAAGTACACCCAGTACAGCGTGGTGGTGAAGGCGTTCAATAATAAAGGAGACGGCCCCGGATCCGACCCAGTCACCGTGCAGACCCTCGAAGACGGTGAGCACTTGGCAACCTTCTCTTCCATTTTTCGCATCCTAGTTTTAGTAGACTTTCGCAAGTGGGTATTAACGCGTTCATAATCGCGTGATGCATGGCCCGCTACGAACTTGCCGGTCTCTCTGCATTTATGGCTCGTTAGAGTCTTAACCCTCTTCTCCTGGAATACCCATTTCCTTCGTACGATTTAATGTCCAGACTTACAGGCTTAACTTTTGATAAACATTCTTTCGAAATATTATTTCAAATGACGTGTCATTTCATTTTATGATTATTTGAAACATTTATTTGCGTTGTGAAATTCTTCTTGGCAATTTTTGTTGCACTTCGAGAATTATTTCTTTCGTCGTATTTGAAACGAAGACGTAATGAAGTAATTAATTATTTGAAGTGTCTATTGTTTTATGTGGATCGACATTATTTTTATTTCTCAACAACAGCACTGAAAATAAAGATTCGAGATGAATTATTTCAAATAGTCATTTCTTATTTTCATTTCAAATAAAATTTTCCCGAGTCTGCATGTACTTATATTCATGTTATAAATAGAACTATAGTCATCCGTAATTACGCTTGAACCCCTTGCTGCACTCTAACAGTAACCTGTTAAAAATAAATGCTATTCTATTCATATTAAGTCGGAATAAAACTCTATTCTCTACAGGATGTTCCAAAATTATTGTACAAGTGGCAAATAAGGGATTCTTGAGGTCATTTGAAGTAACTTTTTCCTTTACAAAAATGTTCTCCGAGGCATCGTTAACGAGTTATTAACGAAAAACACTGACCAATGAGAGGCTGGCGCGAAGCGGCCGAGCCAACGCGCGGTCGGTCCCAGTTCCACTGATTGGCTCGGCCGTTTAGCGCTAGGCGCGCTCTTCTCTCATTGGTCAGTGTTTTTCGTTAACAACTCGTAAACAAAGCCGCGGATTGCATTTTCGCTAAGGAAAAAGTTATTTTAAATAACCTCAGGAATCACTCCTTTCCGGGTGTTAACATAATTATGGGACACCTTGTATAATCGTTCGCATGAATATAGACTCACAATAAATATAAATTCTCTTTTTCTTTCAAGAAATTATTGCGACAGAAAAAGTTCTAATTTCAATTGATTAAAAATTTGTAAAAGTTTCTATTAAAAAAGTTCGACGCCGATTGGATCGCCAATAATCGAGCATCGCGGCATGTACAAGCGATTTAAGCAAAGTATTGCCAGTTCCCTACAACTTCCATTAAGATCGTCGGAGAAGTTTCCCCGGTGGCATTAATTCGCGAGCCATCCTCCATCCCGAAATAATCAGTCATTTTCGCTGGTCCTGTCTCCCTAACAAACATTAACGCCCGGTTGACACACGTAGCACCCATTTGAAACAATTAAACGTACCGCGTGCGTTTCCGTGTACAAAAACTACTCCCATTATACACGATGTCTCCCTGGATGGCAGAAAGTTTCTGCCGGCTCATTCATTCCTGTTCCACCAAATGACATGTTCATTTCAGAGGTGGAGAGTTGTTGCCTTATCAAGCCCGCGAAGGGAACGCGCCGGAGCACGAAAATAAATTGTCAATCTACCGGAGCATTCGTGCTTTCATTTCCGCAACCATGTAAAACGGAGCGTTTAAAATTTATATGAATCTAGCGTTAGTGGTTCAAGCCTCCATTCAAATGTCCCCGTTATAAAATGTCTTCGGTTAAAGTCCCCGAAATAAATTCGTCGATGGCCAACGATTGTTAAAAACGGCTCGGTTAGACAACAATACGTGAATCGAGGCAAGTGCAGATTGGTTTTCGTTGAGTTTCACATAAAACGTGTATATTTTTCATTTCGATCGATAATAGTTATTAATTGCTGTGAATGGGACATTGTTAAACACCGTTATTATTCAACGTATATTCAATTCGACGTTATTGCTTGTTTCGAACGTTAATGTTAAATTCTTCTTAACCCTTTCACTACGAAAGGCTTTGTCTACGTAAACATACGCCCTTTACATTTCGTGAACTGCAACGCCTTCGCCGTTGCACCAACTTATCATTGTGTTGAACTTGTTATTCACGGTGAAAAAGAAAACGAAACAAATTATAGTAAATACTTAACAGTTGTACAATGTGCGTATAAAAGATGTTAAAATTCACCGTCCCAAATTTATGATCGCTACTCTGTATACAGGGTGTCCCAAAAATGTCTCGTAATCCGGAAATGGGGGATTCCTGAGGTTATTTGAAGTAACTTTTTCCTTTGCGAAAATGCAATCCGCAGCTTTGTTTACGAGTTATTAACGAAAAATACTGACCAATAAGAGGCGAGGATTAGCTGACGGGAGACGACCGAGCCAACGAGCGGTCGAAGCCCAGTTCCGTTGATTGGTTCAGTCGCCACGTGCCAGCCGAGCTCGTCTCTCATTGGTCACTGTTTTTCGTTAATAACTCGCAAACAAGGCCGCGAATTGCATTTTCGCCGAGGAAAAAGTTACTTCAAATAACCTCAGGAACTCCCCATTTTCGGATTGCGAGACATTTTTGGGACACCCTGTATACCTGTCTCTTATACACATCTAGATGTGTATAAGAGACAGGGTCAGTATTTTTCGTTAATAACTCGCAAACAAGGCCGCGAATTGCATTTTCGCCGAGGAAAAAGTTACTTCAAATAACCTCAGGAACTCCCCATTTTCGGATTGCGAAACATTTTTGGGACACCCTGTATTTCAGACGAGATATTGGCTCATCGCGAGAGTTTACAAAATGAGACGATTACAGCGATTTGACCGATGCACTAATAAATATGTATAACAGCTTAATGCACTTGGCCAGTTTACGCAGAGTTACCCCGTTCCGCCGGAAGTTCTCGAGACGGAATACCTTTCCGTTAGCATCGATCGCACTCGATCGCAATTCCCGGCAACCCGGACGCATTATTTCCCGATAGATCTCGTTACCATGGAATAAGACGATCCGGATGATCGTGAATGACCATTACCGGATCCCAGCGGTACTCCTGTCTGAAAGCCGCATCTGTCAACGATCGGGCCGCATAAACTCGGGGATGGGAATCGCGTCGGGCAAAGATGATCCAGCTTAAAGATATTTCTATCGGAGAACACTGGCCACCGTCACCCAGTTCCGGGACGAGAATGCATTTGCTCGTGGCTGCTCTCGACAGGGACGCCGGGAATGCCACCCGACCGCGTTCCATTTTCCGTCCCGTTCCGCCGGCCGCGGCGGGCTTCAGACAGCGATCCATCGAACGTGCTTCTTCGGGAGAGGCTTTTTCGCTCCGCAAGCGCGAAACCTCGCGGAGAAAGTGGATCCCTTTGTTGCGGTAACGCGCGCGTTCCTCGATCGTCGCCGCGCCGCTCCATATCGCAGCGTGCACACGCCCGATGCTCGACCGAGTGAACGGTCCTTCGAGACCTGAAACAGTCGGGGCTGGATCCATCGAGATGGATCCGCGCGGAATCGTTGCTTCGACTACGTGTGCCTGACGTCGCACGGCTTCTGTTTCCGTGTAAAAAGCGGAAAAGAGCCAGTTTCAAAAAGTATCCGCGTAGTGCATAATTTGTTCGTCGGTAGTCGATTAAACATCTGGCTTATTATTTGCTATGATCTTTTTTACCATTTGTCCATTTTCGGCCATCTCCAAATCATCCTAAATCTATATCATCGTTTATAATTATTTTGTTCTTCGAAGATAAATAATTTTTACAGAATTTAATGTACTTAGCGTGTACTTAAATTATGTAACAGGATAATATTCTATCTCTATTCTTTATTCTCTATTCTTCCATATAGATCGACGTTAAATATTTATTTGAAACAATTCTGGAATTCGCTCGGAAATTTTTGTTGCATATTATTTCGAGGATTATTGCTTACGTGGTATTCGAAATAAAGAGATAATGAAATAATGAATAATTGGTAATGTCTTTTACATTTCGTACCGATCGACATTATTTTTAAATGACAGCATCAAAAATAAAAATTCCAGATTAATTATTCAAAATAATTAAAATTTTCATTTCAAATCAAATTCTCCCAGGACCGCTTGCACTTATATTCATATTATAAATTATATAAAATATTCCACGTAATAGATATCACAAATTAATGCACATCATGCGCATTACTAGTATTTATGGTCCACTTATGTGCCGATCAAGTTGACGTTACCGCACGAAAATCAGAGAAACTGTCCCACAAAATCACAGTTGCCCTAAACGACTATTCGGACGACTATAGCTTCACTTCGCGGTGCGAAGTGGTCGTCCGAAGCAGCTAGCCGCAGTGCCTGCACATATCCTGATGATCAGCTTGCGTTTCAGATTGCTCGCACAGGTTCGACCTCGCGTTCCACATTTCCTCGTCGAAGATTCTTTCTGTCCTAACATTTTCAATTCCCTTGCCTTACGCTCTGTTCCCATCGCCATCAGGATACACTGGAAACTTTCAAAGTCGATTTCCCACCGCTTCGCCGACACTCTGCATGGAGATCACTGCACAGCTAAGAGCCGCATCTAGAATAGCCCTGCACCAGTTTACCAACGAGGCGAGAAGCGTGCTTGAAAATGGTCAGCGCGAGACTGTTACCATCCATCGCGCAGCCAATTACAATTGAACTGGTCAATTTAGCTGGTCAAAATTCAGGAGAACTTCACATTCGCATTTTTCGATGAAATATGATAATTAGACCGCGGATTTTTATACAGAATACAAATTCTCTGCATCAATTGCTTAAAATCGAAACTAAGTAGCAAGTTCGTTCATTGTTTAATCATTTTGGTAGATCGAAAATAATATGTTGACATTTTTCAATTCTTTTAATCTTGCTATTGTTTCAAATTCGGACTACTGAATTTTACCATGAATGCAGAGAATCCGTAGTCTAATGATAATATACATATAGTGATGTATACATATATAAGTATAAATTATTATCGTAATATGCATTTACATTTTCGTTTTTCAGATTCATATTTGTAACATGAGATCGACCAATCTTTTTCAAAACAATAAGTTTATTCTTCATAGACCTGAATCAAAATCAAAATTATAAAACTGAAATATAATTTTTACATAGACAAGAATTCACTTTTCTATATCGCACTGTTTTAATATGCATATTAACAAAGTTGTTTATGTACCATGAAAAATTCAGTAGCATTAGAGAACAATAAGAAGAAAAAATGAAGACAACGAATTCCCCTGAAAGTAAAAAATAAGTTATTTCACTACTTACCAGCTTCAAATAATTCCATAATTTCAAGTTAATTGAAATTGTTTACAAATTGTTCTATGAATACCGTAAACTAATTTCAAGGTTTTTTCTGCAGATTTTCTCCCGCACCATTTTCCATCATCATTCAATGAAGAATAAGACTTTATGAATCGAGAAAAACTCGGAGCACCGTTCGCAATTCATTTAAGTTTGTCGATCGATAAAAACGATCTTGAATAGAATTTTCTTAAGTGATTTTTGGCCAACCAGATCGACCGGTTCTACCGCGGCGCGTGTTGCACCGACTCCAATTAGCCGCATAACGGCCGAACGCCTTTGTTAGTAGTCCACGGGCGGCCGTCGTAGGACCCGTCGTAGGACCCGGTTAATTGTCCTCGGATGGTCAAAACCGCCGAGGGTCCTTGAGGCGCGTTGAGACCCGGGCCAAGCGAATTTACGATACATTCTGACGCAGTTCCGAGCGCCCCGCCGCAGAACGTGGCCTGCGCGGCGCTGACCGGCCAGAACATCCAGGTCACCTGGAAACCGCCGCCGTCGGACAAAGTTCACGGGGTCGTGCAGGGCTACAAGTTGCTGTACGAGGCCGGCGGCGCGGTCCTGGAGCAGCAGGCCGGCAGGGAGACGAAGATCAGCCACGCGTTGAGCACGGTGCTGCACGGGCTCAGCCCGTACACCAATTACACGGTGCAGGTGCTCGCCTACACCAAGGCCGGGGAGGGTGTCACCAGCAGCCCGGTCTCCTGCACCACCGAAGAAACTGGTAAACTTCTTAGTGGCTCGGGACAAAGAGGAATCGTCGCGGCGCGGTTCTCTCGTTGTCTGTCCGGGACAAGCGGCGACCGGAAGTAAATTCCCGATGGCCGTTTCTCTGGCACCTTGCCGACTTTACGGCGCGCCGTGCTGTTGATGTTTCGATGGGCCAATATGTTTCCGCAATTGTTCGCCGATTCCATGGGGCCGCCTGAAAGGACACGGTCCGCCGTATCGCGGACATCTGGCACGGCACGGTCGCTGCGGGCTATTGAAATTTCAATGGCTGTCGATATTCGTCTTATTGCCTTCCTTCGGGACCAACGCTTCTCCCCTGTGCGCTCGCAATTAGTCGACATCGTCTCTGCGATCGTTACCGATAGTATACTTCAGCCTTCGGATGGTCTATGCCAGACGTGCGTACTTTATTGTGCAGGCAACTGCACTCGATCCGGAACTGTTCATTGCTCTTTGAGTTGTTCCGAAGTTGGTTCGAGGAGCTGCGTTTAGATGAAACTCCGAGCTGAAACTTTTCGGGAATTTGTTCGTGATTGTAGCGTAGCGGAGCCCGCGGTTTTTGCTGATAACGGAACTGCCGGTTTCCTTAATGTCTTAGACGATATTTTTGGGTTAGCCGTGTTATGCGCCAGTCTGGTGCAGACGGTGCGTTCTGCGCTTTAAACTGTTGTTTAAATCTTCTTGTTCTTATTTCCGCGTTGTCGGTTTCGCTGCTATTCCTCGGTTTCGATGAACCGTTATTGTAACGAAATTTATTTCCGATCTGTTACCACTTAAGTAGAATTGTCAACGTCAGGATTCGTCTTTCTAACAGCCACGACAGGGTAACGATGTCATTTAAAACTGTCATTTAACACGCTGAACATACCGAGCAATAGAATAGCACTGTGTGCACGGTTTCGTGAAACGGACACGATCCAATATATTTAGATCCATACGGTTTTTAACGTAATAGTTGCTCCAGTATTGTTATTTATACGATCAGCTCTCATGAAAGCGTTTTTATCATTATTATAATTGTAAAATGAGAAACGGATTATTTGATCGTGATAAGTTTAACGTTGAAGAAGTCAAGTTCGCCTTAATATCCTGAATCAATCAAAATTTTGTATGATATTGTTATTATCTCAACTCGTATATTGCGATTCCAGAACCGCCAAGATAATAATATTAATGCTATTTTATGTAAGTCATGCTATTAACTAAACAATGAAATGACTACCCTAAAGAATGTACGCTTTTATTATGAAGCAAAAGCATAAACTTTGTGCACCTCGTGAAGTAATGTTCCCTTCATTCTCTTGAATGAAACGCGAGCTGGGGAGAAGTGTTAAGGAGCAGCAGAATAATTACCGAGCCTTTGTTATTCCTTTGAGAAATCATGCTCTCCCATTATATTATAGCTGATTATATAGCTGATACCACACATTCCACGTAGTCCGAGTAAATCTTCGCTGGGAGCAACGAAGGCTATACACAAGTAAGACTCGTGCACGTTGGCAGGGTTGTTTTAAACATGATCATTTATGTATAGGGTTGACTCGTGACCCATGGTTCCTTTCAGATTTTTGTTCCTCTCGATGAGTATTATACGTTGCAATTAAAAACAGAAATTTTAACCTTTGATCATGATTTTCAAGATCAAGGACAATTTTGCGGTCCATTATTTTAGCGGATCTCCATCGATCCAGAAAGGGTGATTCCTGAGGTCATTTGAAGCAACTTTTTTCTTTGCGAAAATTTTCTCCAAGGCTTCGTTTACGAGTTATTCACGAAAAACACTGACCAATGAGAGGCGAGCTCGACTGGCGCAAGGCGGCCCCCCAGTTCCGCTATTGACCGCCTCGCGTCAGCTGATCTCGCCTCTCATTGGTCAGTGTTTTTCGTTAATAACTCGTAAACAAAGCCGCGGATTGCATTTTCGCTAAGGAAAAAGTTGCTTCAAATGATCTCAGGAATCGCCCCTTTCGAATATTAACATAATTATGGGAAAACCTTGAATAATTTTCAGTGCGACCGATTAGATGCTTTTTTCATCCACGCGGCCTTGTGTTTATTTTCTGATCGTCTCATCGGACGACTGCGTTGTCTCTTAATTTACGATTGATAATCCAGGAGTTCGCGAGCGCGCACTTACATTCGTACAGTGGACAAAACGAGCGACGAAAGTGGCGTTCGCGCGCGCCGCTTGAAATTCCGGCCGCGGGGGTGGGGGGAGGGCCACTTGTCGGCCCCGAATCCGGTTGAATCGGACGGCTCCCGGGCCGACGAGCCAGAACGCGACTAAAGGAGTCAATGACAGAAACTTTAACGCGCCTTTGAAGTAACATCGTGCCGCGCGGACCGTGCTCCCGTTTGCCAGCCCGCTTCCGGGGAAACTCTGCCGGCGCGGCGGAGCCGGTTTTCCATTAAACGCAGCTGCAGCCTCGGCAACGGCATTGGCCCCGGGCGCCGAAACTGCGCGAAATGGGTCGCGAATAATTGTATGGTTATCTCGAAATTCATATTAACCCCGCGGCGGTGTTTCGTGACGCACCGTAATCGAAATTCCGAGTACCACAAAGAAAACGTGGAACGATTCGCCTCCTCGTCAACCGAAGGAACGACTATCTTCCCTTTGACCCTCGGACAATGTACGAACTCGGTCGCTGGCGGATCGTGGAAGCGCGCTGGTCGACAGAATTGTAAGTGAACCGCGGATTTTTGGTCCGAGGGAAACATTGTTTGCTTCGTAGAGCACGCAGCGGCTACATTCGTTTCTGTTCGTGACAATTTCAATCGGTCTGAAGTGGTGCAACAGCGTCTTTTAATTCTTTAATTGGTTTCGCTGTTTTGCATACGGTGCGTTCGCTTCCGTTGTAGAGCGAACAGTCAGGTAAACTGATGAAATACAAAAAGCAATAAAAACATTTGGAGAATTTAGAAACACCGTTGCTCTGTTCTCAACTGATTAACGTGATTAATAAACGATAGTGGCTCGCGGAACTGATCACGCACCGTCTGGAACGGAATAACTTTTTTATCTATTTATTTGATTACTTTCTTATTAATTTATTTTGTTTTATTTTTGTATTTCTTTGGGATGCTAAAGAGATTAGTTTACTAGCCAATGGTTTTAAAAAGTCGTTCCCAAAAATTGCAATTGGTTGAGATGATAAAACATTAAAATGTTACGTTTTTCCAACTTTTCTGTCCGAGCTCCATAACGAAAATTTAATCTCGAAAAAATCCAAGTGCTTCGATCCAATTTTAAAAACGTTATTCTGTTCTAAACGGTGTTTGATCAGTAGACTGCGGATCTGTGTGCAAAATATAAATTCTCTGCATTGATTGCAAAATGCACGAACTTAAAAAAAACATTGATTTCCTTTCTCAATAACTTCAACGAGTTGTACATAATACAATAGTATCACTAAATTCTTTAAATATCTCCACGGTTTTGATCTACAATTTGATCTACTCATTTTAATCACAAATGTGAGCGATCAATATCGCGAGTCACCGTATATGAGCGTAGCTCTTGTATCTCGTAATTAGTGCAGACAATTTTCATGTTGCACCCCACTATCGCCGAAAATAGTATCGTACTCCATATTATTGAAAAAAAAGTGTTTAAAATATTCACATTGTTGATACACAGATTTTAATACAGATCTTTCACGCGATTCCGAGTCAAATGCCCCGAAACAATATTGGCCAACCGAAAATCGATGCTTCCATTTCAGAAGAGCTTTAAATGTCCTTCTTTTCGGGATCTAAACGATGCTAAACGGTGCATCAATACCAACGTGCGTCACTCGACCAACTTCGCTGAAACAGAAAAGATATTTCCCGAGTTTGTTGTTACGGTCTGCTTTTACTTTTGGTAAACGTCCTACTTTCGCGGCGTGCTTCTGCAATCGATTCCATGTAAGAAAAGCTTCCGAGTAGTTTATTTATAACAACTCTTGGGAAATACTGGGGTTTTCATTTCTTATTTACCTTCGCGGTACGACGTACATAAATTGAACTCGACGTTTAAACGCGCACGATTGTTTCTCTACTTTCGCGCAATTGATTCCTCTGTTTATTCGTTAACCAGTCTAGATCTATTTTTTGCTGTTTTCCAGTCAGCGACGTTAATAATCACGAGGGCGCGTCGTTTACGCTTCGTTTGTTGGCACCCTTTTCAAAAGCAGCAGCTGGCCTTCGCGAGATCCGTGCTCTATTCTTGCATAGAGCATTCGCAGGCATTTTCTTAAATCTCCCGAACAATACGGGCAAACGGACCCCCGGTGAGCTGTATCTACCGATGTGGAGGCTCGAATTGGACCACTCGAACAAACCTCTCCGATCGATACTCCGTTCTCTCGTTTGTATGTTACCTAGATACGCGCCAGTAGACAAAAATTAACAAAGAGAATTCTTTGAGCGATACGTTTCGCGGGCGACAAATGATCAAACGTCGTAGACCACGGATCAATGTTCTGCATAATTCATGACCGACCTGCAACGTCTCATCTCCTTAACTCGCTATAAGGCCACTTAAGGAACCACTGACACACTTTACAATTGATTGGTTTGCGGTAATAAGGCGGAAGCTCCGCGTTGTATACATTTCCGTACGTATTTGGTCTAGATTTTGTCGTGCAGAGTGTTCTACATGGAGCAGGCCGTCCATAATTATTTCTCGTGTTCGAAAATGATTGCTGAACCCAAGTTCCTCGAATATCGGACGATCATTGCGAATTGATAGAATAAAGAAGGAACATTAGAATCACTATTTTGTAAAACTAGAGTTTCACTTGGGGTAAAACTAAGTTGGCTCTAAGTAATTAGTTCGGTGGTACACAATCAATTGACCGGTTTCACGTATTATAATTATACAAATACAATTATACAATAATTATACAAATCATAAAAACGCTTTCACAGGAAATGATTGGACAATTTACATTACTCGCGCAAGTACTACAACGAAATCTCCGTAAAATCTGAACGAATCGTATCTTCTAACTTTCATCGGGCAATGCGCATCAGTTATTCTTCTACGTTACACGTTTCACGTAAAAAAGGAAGAAAACGAAGGAAAACATCACCGGTACTGCAATCGATTGCAATGGTTAAAACGTCAAGCAACCCACAAGTTCCGTACGCGGCGTAAAAGTTGACTGCGGATTTGAAAAGTTTCGGAAACATCGGTCAACAATAAATTCACGGTCGACTTTTAATCCCTCATTGTTGCTCGAGTTGCTTCCCCGGTCCCGGCAGCCCGTTCAATTACCCCGCAACAACGGGCGGCCATATTACGGCGAGAGCTGACCATTTGTTTCCCACCGACTGAATCCGGAACGGGTCAGCGAGACGCGACAGTGCGGTCGGAAAGTTTTGATCACTAGAAAATAACAACGGTGGCGAGAACCGTATCAACGTACTGCATCAACGCAAGAACGACGCTCGCGTCTCGGCCGGGGACGTTTCTCGTGCGTTCCGGAGCAGACGTTCCGTCATGACGGTACCGTTTCTGACCGTAGTTCCGGACGCGCCGGAGCGTGTGAAAGCAGTAACCAGCAACGAGGACGCGGTGGTGATATCCTGGCTGCCGCCGCGGCGGCCGAACGGCATCCTCACCCAGTACACCGTTTACATCCGCGTGTTGGACCAGGGCCAGGAGATGAAGATCACCAGGAGCATACTGACCGCGCAGAATTTGCAACACGAGGCGACCGGCTTGAAGCAGCGCGAGTCCTACGAAGCCTGGGTTACGGCATCGACCAAAGTGGGGCAAGGACCTAGCACCCCGGTCATCAAACTGCAGCTGAGCAATACCGGTAAGCTGGCAAACTGGGATCCGATCAACTTCGATACGCGAACCGATGGCGAAAATTATTCGAACACCCTTCGATACGCATTCATTTCTCGAAAACCTAAATGACTTGAATCTTCTTCATTGTTAACCCATTGGCACTCGATTTGGCACCACTAAAATTGTTACATCACGTTTCAAGATAATTTTTATATTATCAAAGTTTAGATATAAAAAATTGTTGAAAGTCTAACTGTCGTATGAGCCACAAGACTAAATTTCATATGTATAAAATGCACTTTGTCGTGTAAAATGGAAATACCGTAAGTCAAAAAAGTTAATTTAGATTTACAGTTAAAATGGCTTCGAGTGCAAAGGGTTAAAGCGATCGGTTTACCAATTTTATTCAGTTTACTAAATTTATCAGATGACTACAATAGCCTTTTCCTTAATTTTGCTCGAAATGCCGAAACAGAATAAAAATCTGCGATTTTCATGATCTTCAGTTGTTTGTATCAACGTCGACCAATTTTAATACAACGCGTATACGGTAATTGTATATGAATAAAATTCTTTAAAAATATATAATACGGGTATACAGGGTGAGTCACAAATTAGTCTCCACGATTTCTCCCCTTTCCGATGGTCTGACAAAAAGATGTTTCTATCTATGTTAATTAGTATTTAACTGACAAGAAATCGCAATTGTTTCAAATTCAAGAACAAATTGATTTTCGATCAAAAACAAGGTCAATATTTTTGTAATCTAGATCCGTACCCTGCTTGTAGTGCATTCGATCCCACATCCGCCGACAACAGCTCGCGAAACTATCGTTTGCCACCGGGAACATTTCCTCGCAGCGTGGCCCTCTGCCCGCGGGATTCATTCGAGTTCGAGTTGCGCGTAGTTCGATGCGAAAACCGAGCCAATGAACACGGTAGCTTTATGAAAAATTCCGGGCCAGGTCCCCGGGAGATCAGCGCGTGATCGCCGCCGGCGTAATTTTCCCGCCGCCGTTTTTTCTTCATTATCCGCCGCCTCGAGCTCGCCTGGGAAAAGCCCTCCGAGTCTCGCGATCCCCGCTGGCAGATCCGCGAGCAGATTCGCGAGCAGGTCCGCGGTCACGTCCGCGTTCCTTTCGCATTCAGGAGACGCCTAATCGACGCGTCGTTCGCGTTTAACTTGCGACGACGACGAAGTTCGCGGCTCGTTCGAGCTCGGATCACTGGGCCACCGTAACTGGGAATTGCAGCCGAGTTTCCGATTACCTTTGCTCCGGCTCCGGAATTATGCATTTGAATCGCGACTGTTGCGAGCGTTGCCGCCGCGCCGAAAGTATCGCCGGTTATTGAAACGGCGGCCGGTAACAATCGAAGCGGCGCCGAAAACGTAACCGAGAAAAAGAAGAATTTCCGGTGACGGCGCGGCGAGGTTCGAGGGCCCCGCGGAGTTCCGCCGCGGAGCCGTGAACTTTCGTTAACTGAACTCAAACACGGGTCACGGCTGCCGGGAAGTTTAACGAAGAGCAAGAATAACCGGGACGTTTAATTAGTTCCAGCGGCTATAATATCGTTCGGAGTGGCACTCATGGTGCCGTGGAGGGTCGACGTCAATATGACCTGCCTGGCCGTCGGCAATCCGCGGCCAACCGTCGAGTGGCGACGCGGCGACCTCAAGCTGCAGAAGTAAGTGATGTAACGAACCGTCGAATAGGATCCGGTCTTATCGTGGATTTCCCGCAGATCCGACGTCGGCCCGGATAACACGCTCACGCTGAGGAACGTGCAGAGAACCCACGAGGGCAAGTATTTCTGCCACGTGAAGAATCCGCTCGGGTCCGACGAGATCACATACACCCTGCAAGTCCAAGGTATGTAGAACCGGGAACGGGTAACGGAGCTTCTTTGACTCGGATGCGCGCCACAATTGCTACACCTCCCGCGAGCTATTTCTAATTAGTTCTAATAGGTTCTAATTAGTTCGGATGCGTCTGCGTCCTAGATATTCCGATAGCTTCGTGCGGCTTTCGCTGTAACTCCTGCAGCGCTCGAGTCTCCTTATTTCGTTCGGTAAACTCGTATTCCGTTTGAAACGTGTACCGTCGCGCAAGATGCTGGACCGTTTTCAGTAGAATGCAGCTGACAATGGTTGACGACGGTTCTCGGCTTTGTGCGTCGAGTTTTCTAGACATATTTTCGGAGATTCTCCTTGAGTGACCTGTCGGTCTTCCTATTGTTCCTAGCATAAAAATGAGGTATCTAATTCAACTGTCGAAAATTGAATAATTAAGAAAACTTAATTATCACTTAATTGAATCGTTAGATTTAACTTTTTATGGCACAGGATTTCAGAAAATAAAATAGGCCCATGCTGCACAGGAATTTTATTGCGATTTAAATTAAATTAAATCGGTATGTTTTTATTTACGAAGGAATCGCATAATATAAAAACATAAAGAAATAATAATAATCCAATTCGATTTGTTGTTATAGGGTGGGACTCAAATAGTCCCGCCGTGCCACATGGGTTCATGTGGAGCACAGGGTTAATAGACGATTTATTTAAACTTCGTACGTAGTTTATATTATAATATACGTTTTTATAAAGAAGTGTAACTAAAAATGTCTCCTAAAAATATTTTTATAATATCAGAAACCGTAAAAGAAACAACCAGAAACCAGTCATTTTGTCCGGTATTTCGAGTTATTAAGTGCGCTCGGTCAAAATAACCCGATAATCGCAGTACGAGGGTTAAGGACACGAAAGCTGATCGCAAGGTTTATTATGCAGTCAGGAGGGGGTTGTGGTAACTTATCGGGAGCCAGCTGGCTACTATATTGGCCCGAAGTACGAACTATTTAGCGCGCATGTGTAATTTTGGAAAACTTCCTATACATATATGCCGCGCCTCGCAGGACCGAACTGAAACGTGATAGTAATCGGGATTAAACTTGGAAACATCGCGGATTATGTGAGTTGTGGATACGCTTAATTTTGCGGAAAAAGGATCGAAGTTCGCTGGCCTTCGAAACGTTCAATATTATCGCTACTCGAACGAACAATTGTGTTCGCTTTAACGCATTCGTTGGGATGGCCTCGTCAATGAGTCGCGATGCTGGCAATGCTTTTTTAACCCTCTAATATCAGAACGAAATAATTCATCGAAATATCTGGAGAGTAATTTCTCGGTAATTTCTCTCGGAAATGTTCGGAAGTCGGAATTGAAAGCGGCAGATCCGAGAGTACTAAGTCGCGATTCTTCGAGCCTCGCGGCTCGTTTTTATGGAAACTCGGGGCAGTCGGCATAAAAAGGCAGCGGCCAGCGTGCCGGTGTAATGAATATGAATTAATATGAATACATAGTAATGCTAGAATGAAAATGATGACTTAACTTTTTTATTTCTAATTCTTTGTCGCGATTCGAAGGCAATTCGGAGGCTACGTGCCACGATTCGAAGGCATTTCGGAGACCATACGATACGATTCGAAGGCATTTCGGAGACCATATGATACGATTCGAAAGCAATTCGGAGGTCAAATGCCACGATTCGACGGTCACGTACCTAGTACGTACACAAACAAACCATTTTGTATTGTCTTCCGGGGAATTCCCGTCGGATGCCCTATCACACACTCGACCGACTCCGTCGACCCTTCGCATAGACGTAGCAATAAATTACATAGGCATAGGGAAATTACACAGGGAAATTCGCAGCATCCCGAAATTTGGCATTCCCGGGAGAAATTACTGTATGTCGCAAAGATTACTACGTATTTAACTATATTTTCAAAACACTAACAGCGGCTATTTTACGTTGCTTCGTAAAAATAACAAGCACGTATTTATTCAGATTTTTAGCGATTATAATCATAATATAATATAACATCGATTATTCGATCCTCCAATATCAGAGTTATCCATTATGCAACTATTTTTTCACGTAATCGGCTCAATCTAAGGGAACGCGTATACAAAGCGATTTGCTGCATAAATTAATGATGACGAAACCTGACAGAGGAATTAAATAACCGTTTTAATCATCGAATATTTATATCGCTCTACGTAGCCCGAACAAACGAGCCGTATGTTTTTAATGAAACAAATTTATTCAATAAATCTCGCATAAATGCATCTTTATAATTTTAATCACGGTAAATATTAAAACATTTTAATCCGGTCAGAATGACGAGTTCTGTATAACTAGTGTTAAAAGCGCCACTACGAAATTATCCAAGTATAGTTATTCCCACCAAATTTCGTGCGATGATTAAGAGATGTGACAAAGTATAGATGCAATGGCAATAACATATTCGATTTAAATATAATACATATAAATTATTCTTGACGTCACACAGTAAACCGTCAAGAAATTTACTCATAATTCCACGAGGGAATTGATTGTAAATGCTCTAGGTCAATAAAAAAAAAAGAAAGAAATATGCATAAAATGCAGGTCATATAAAATGGAAATACTACAGGTCGGAAGATGCATTTTGGATTTCGAGTTAAAATGGCCCCGACTGCAGAGGATTAAATGATAAAATGTGATCCTTTTTTTCGGCTTATTTCTCCACGTAGAATCGCCCCCGGCCCCGGTTGTACCGCGATTTTTCGGTGCAACCTGTATGACAGTTCGGAACGGACATTTCCGCAGCCTTTTCAATCCCTGCTTTCACGCCTAAGTCGGGCCGGGGCGCGTTCGCTTCGTTAAAAGTTATTGGAAACCATTTTCCGGCTCGCCGGACGCCGCATTATTTTCCCGGCGAGTAATTCGAACAAACGCAAAGAACGCGGGGCGAATGCGTGCGCAGGACGCACTTCGTTATCCGGGACGTCGCGCGAATTCACACGGACGAACGACCGCTGACGTATGCAACACGATCCCGCGATCCGCATGCATACGTGACTGCCGTCGAATCGGGAAAAATCCCGAGGAATACGCCGGCCAAGTTCGACGTGGAATCCTCTGTTCGACGACCGCGATTCCTTTGGCATGGAAATCGTACGGGATTTGAAAATCCGAGCGGCGAACCAAGAATTCCAATCCCCGTGAATTATGAATTTCAAGGATTTTACTAAACCATGCAATTTAATGCTGCCGGCGTCGATGCTCCGCTGCTTAAGAATGCTTTCGATATCTCTCGAGCCGCTGCGAGCTTTCGATCCGGTGCTGGACGTTTTTATGTCGGACAAGACGCCGATCGTTCGCCGCTCGTTCCGCTTGCTTCGCTAAATAAGCATTGTTTGAGTTGAGTGTAAGAAACTGAACTGAGATGAAAGTATTTTATAAAAATATTAAAATCGAATTTATCTAAATGTTCAACCATTTTTATAACAATGTGTGGCCGATTATAGAAATGTACTGCTCAAGTGGATGACAACATAGAAAAATCTTGTATAAAAGTTGCTCAACTTTGACCGGTGATAACTTCGCGAAAAGTGATCGCAGGGCGATGATTCTATTTTTAAGTTAAAGCTCGAAACCTCTACTTTAAGACAGTATGTCTCGATTTTAAGCTCGGTGCACCCTCACCACTGTAATCCTTGAAATGTGAGGCCACGTTTGTCAAATTGGAAATTGCAAGTTTGACGAAGCGCACGGCCTTTGTCAAATTTTTATCGGAGATGCCGATTGCAGCCGAACGAAGTTAGATCCCTTCCCTCGAATTTAAAAGAAAAAGGAACGTGACTGCGATTTTCTTCGCAAGGCCATAACACCGTTAAGCACGAATATTATTCCGTTAAGTTGGAATAAGCTTCTATTCTTTTCGCCGCAATATTTAAGCGTTCGAGTAAACGTAGGCACACGATAAATACAAATTTCCTTCTTCTCAGAAATGATTACTATCGAAAAACTTCTTAGTCATCGTAATTGTGAAGACGTTAACGCGAATTATCATGCCGCGCGATTAATCATGCACTCGGACGTTCCCAAACACTCGAGGTCGCCGCTCTAATTGACGAACTTTGCGCAGTGCCGCCCACGCCACCGACTTTGCTGGCTACCGGCACGACAACTGACGCCGTGCAGCTGCAATGGAAGCAGGGCGACAATGGCGGCGCCCCGATAAAGGGATTCCTGCTGGCTTATCGCCGCGAGTTCTCCGAATGGGAGGAGGTGATGCTGGATCGCAAAGCGGCCACCCACTTGCTGGAAGGCCTGCAGTGCGGGACCAGGTATCAGTTTACCCTGGCAGCCTTCAACCGTATTGGCAGCGGAAGTGCCAGCAAAATCGAGACCGCTAAGACAAACGGGACCAAGCCGATCGCACCCACGAAGCATCAGCTGGTCAGGGTCAACCAGACGTTCGTCACTTTGGAGCTGGCGTCATGGCAGGACGGCGGATGCCCTTTGCTCTACTTCGTCGTCGAGTATCGCAGGCTTCCCGGTGATTGGTTGCTAGGTAAGGATGTCGCGCAGTTGTCTAAAACGTTGACAAAAAATCTTGAAAAATCTTTATATTATTTATATTATATTATTATATCATATTATATTATACTATATTATATTATATTATATTATATTATATTATATTATATTATATTATATTATATTATATTATATTATATTATTTATATTATTAT